CCCATTGTTAGGAAAACAAGAATAGGCCCACTGCCTACTCTGCTTACAAATAAGTCAGATCTGTAAAACGTATGTGCACCCAACACTCAGGTTCGGAACAAGACTAAAGTCCAGATATGGACGAATAACCAGAACTCTCCGCTGGAGTTAATAGTCGGTGAACGCGAAGAAGGAGAAGAGTGTGGCTTCCTGAAATCACAGGTGGGCAGGTACATCTAAATTGTAACTTTGGTTGTTTAACCGTGTTATTAGTTAATAACTTGAGGTGCCGCGCGTATTTCTTATTATTTTTTATTATAAAGTAACAAATATTTTAGATGCAGTCACCTAAACTGACAAGTGTGGGACTGACTAACTTAAATATTTGGCATATGAAGACATTTTGCTTTATTGTGTCATTTTACGTTAGGTGATTAAGCAGACAATCAGTTCTCTTTAAGCCTAGTGGTACTCGAGACTTCAGAGAGGACTTTCCATGCTTTCCTGTCCTGTGCAATCTTCAGTGCAGTTTTCCATGTCAGAGATGCCGCACTCAGTTCACTTACCATCGTTCGTCTCCATGTTAATTTTGGGAGCCCCTTCTTTCTCTTTCCCTCTGGTGTCCATGTGAGAGTTATTTTGGCAGGTCCAGGATTCATTCTCATAACATGGCTAAGCCATTTCCATCCCGGTCTTCCAGGCTCGGGGGCTGGGCGCAGTGTTGACAGCTCTGATCTGTATACAATGTTACAGAAACTTCAAGAGGAAATAAGTTAAAAAACAAGGACCCCCTTAAACCGAGTGAAGCTTGGGCAAAGGTGCAAGAGAATAATCGACTCTCGGTGGATGTAATCGACTCTCGATGGATGTAATCGACTCTCGATGGATGATTTGATCAGTATCATGACAGCCGCCTATACTTTCCAAGACATTACTTTATATCATTTTAAGCTGCGTAGACTCAGAAGCCAAACGCCACTTTAAAAAAAAAAATATGCTGCGATGTAGCTTTGAACCCTTGACCTCCGGGTTAGCAGACGAAGGTCTAGTCACTAGGCTGTCACCCCCCCCCCCCTTTTTTTTTCTCCCCAATCCGACGTTCAATAATTTGCCTGCATTTTTTAAATAGTACTGTTTTGCCAAAAGCCATGCTAATGCAATGTTCCCCTGTCGGCCTGAAGTTCTTAGATTTTGTATAACCATTAAGACGCATATTTATCATCGACATAGAACTAGGTCCAGTGCGTCAATGACATTAAGGATGACTTTTACTTAACTGTGTTACATGATGCCGAATCGTTTATTAGTCCATCAATGGACGGCTCTGTCGCTGGACGTGTAGGTTTTGGTAGCAGTTATCGCACCAGCACTACAAGAACAGTTATAAGGGCTACATTGTAGCGAGCACTTATTCATTTGCGTCCAGGTTGCACATTGGCTGGCCGGTAGAGGACTTCGTCGTCGGTCGAGACAGTATTTGGGTCTGTCTCTCTGCAAGAGTCCTTTTCGAAGCTACTTGTTGGCGAACAATGCTAAGCCATACTATAGAGCGCAAATAAACCTACTCACAGTTATAACCCAAAGCTCCTCCTTTGGGGATACTGGCTGAACGTGCTGGTGCTTCCGTCGATTCACCTTCATGCCCCTAAGAGGTCAAAGGTTGTACAAACACACCGACTATACGTCACAGTCTCTTTATCAACTGTTTATGAAATAGTAAATAATGACAAACAAAGTGTCGTGTATTCACTGGCTTATAAATGTAGAGAGAACAAGTGGAGACTGCACTTTCCTTTGTATCTTTATGTGTCAAACAATCCACAACCATTCGTATTATTATTATTTTAATGACCTCAATGACTCTTCTGCGATGTATGTCAATATGTGAAATGGTCAGTGATCAAGTCCATAAAACAGAGACTAAATTTATGTGGTTGTATGTATTTCATTAACATAAGTAAAAACCGAAGGTATATGCACATATGTGACGTTCAGCATAGGCATAATACCAGTCTGGATGACATGTACCGTGAATAACGTACATTTATTACACGTTTCTAGCGTGCTGAAAAAATGAACAAGACAATCAATGCACAAATACGACCGCTGGCGTGCTAGTTTCACACATAAGCAGTCACTGCACACCTTGTCAGAAAGGATTTTTTGAAGTCATCACGCCAGGTATTTTCGCGCAGCTGCCAGTTTGGAATTGTTCCAGGGAATGTAAATGTGTTTTAGGTTGAGAGGCAGCGGAAGAAAATGATAACAACTGCTTAAAGTTTGCGGATTTTACCACTTAAAACCTCTGGAATTGACTGCACAAAAATGTCTACAAATATGCTAGCGGTTAGAATACTTGCTGATCGTTGCAATGGGTAGATTACTTGCTTATCATTACAATGAGTAGAATGCTTGCATATTATTGCAGTAGGTAGAATACGTACTTGTCCTTGCAATAGGTAGAATATTTGCTAATCATTGCAATGGGTAGAGTACTTGCTTATCATTGTAATAGGTAGAATACTTGCTACTCATTGCAATGGGTACAGTACTTGCTTATCATTGCAATGGGTAAAACACTTGCTACTTAATGCAATGGGTAGGACACTTGCTATTCATTGCAATGGGTAGAGTACTTGCTTATCATTGCAATGGCTAGAATACTTGCTACTGATTGAAATGGGTAGAATACTTGCTACTCATTGCAACTGTACAGGTTGACAATCGATGAGGATGTAAATAGTACATTTATGCCGTTTCAACAGTAAAGGTTGGCATTAATTTATCCACTGCTGTCTTTGGAGTAATTGAGTGACCAGGTCATAATTTCTGCAGTGGTGTGATTCTCATCCCACTGCCCAGAGGGCCACATTAAATCTATTTTCTGTTTCAGGGCTATCAAACTAAGTTTACTCAGGTATCACAGTTTTGAAAATGGGGATCATCACCGGCCAGTGGCACGAGCCCTAGCAAATAAAGATTAATAATACAGTACAACTGGCAATCATCCACGGGCCAATTGCTAGGCATCCGCAGCCAGATTTGGCCAGAAAGTGATCAGACAGTTGACCCAAAAATCAGAGTCAACTTTTTTTTTTTTTTTGCACCTACAGTAGGTGGTACCGCCCGGGCCGAGATACCTTTTGCAATGCTGCAGTAGATCGACATACATAAAGAGATGAAATGGGTCAAGTGGATCTAAGCTGTGCTTTTCTAAAGAACAGTGTCGATGAGATGTGGTGAGTGGGCATCAAAGCCTCAGCGTGTCTCAAATAGCTTGCCCCATGAATCACCATTTTCTCTTGTCCTCTTTAATGTGTACATTTCCACAGCCACCAGTTCACAGATAGTAGGTGTGGGCAGAACAATGTCTTTCGCAGACGACGTCCTTGAGAACCGACGAAGAAGCATCAGACATGACATTATAAAAAAGTTACAGCATGAATTAGACCGACTCTGTGAGTGGTGCCAGGAGTCAAGTGCACTGGTAAACCGGCTAAGGCTTCTTTGACGTGGTTCTTTGTGAATATCCATTGTCAGTATACCAAGGTCAGTCGTAAGCATGTGCGGTATAGATATCGATAGAAGGAACATAATGAGGTATCTTTGCATACTTTTCGACAGATGCTTGTCATACAACAATCACGTAGACAATGTCAAAGTTAGAGCCCGGAAAGGTCTGGTGGCACTGAAGGCGAAGGCATACACCGACATTGAACACCTACGTTTCCTGTTCTACCAGGGACTTGTACTTGTGTTATAGACTACTCTCTGTGCCTCCTCATTGTCAACAGAATCCACCTAGAAAGACTGGACTGGATACAAAATAAGGTCATGAGACATATTCGGCTGCATAAAAGACGCCTGGTGCCGCACCATGCGGTATGTCCTGGGTTTACAGACAATGGCCACCAGTCACAAAGTGGCACAGGCAAAAGCGTACACGAGGATATCAGCAGACATTAACCACCCACTGCACAACGCTATCAATGATATAAAAGGTATGCGTCTCAAAAGTAGCTCCTTTTGGATGGCCGAAACAGATAATCTAATCCAGCAAGTATGTTACCTAGACGAGATTAGTCACGAAAAAGAATGTGCGGAAACACCAGTAGACATGCAAGACCTTTCTAAGGTTGTCGTAACACTGGAGAGGTACTGCAGGAGTCAGATAACGGTCACTGTAGACGCCGAGATTAGACCGTTGATTGATCAGCATTCAAGCCCAGAAGATGTAGTCATTTACACATATGGGTCCGCGAAGCACTGGTCAAGATCAGCATAGGCATACACAACACAAAAGGGGGGGGGGGGGGGGGGGGAACAATAAAGAGGATAGCAGTGCTTACCAGACAGTTACGTCAAACATGGTCATGGCGATAACTGCTACTTCTTCAGCACTCGCATGGGTAGCAGAACAAGCGGCAGCACATGCGGTAATCGTTTCAGACTCCATAAACATGTTTAAGAAAATCGCTACAGGTAGTCTAAGCTCCGAATGGGTAAAAAGCATTCAGAAGTCGCAGTTACCCTCCATCATCTGGATCTACACACCTGGGCACAAAGGAGTAAATGGTAACAAAAGAGCTGACCAGCTGGCAAGTAATGCACCAGTGCAATCGGGAAGAAGCATAGGAGGAGCTGATGTCATGAATGCTGCATGGAATAAGTTGGGGGATAATAAAGAATCGCTGACGCTAACACAGTTGTGTGACCGAGGAGTTGAGCTTGGTGAAGCACGTCTATGTCGTCTTCCAGGTAAAGACAGGAAATACTATAACCGTCTTCTTATAGGAACAGTTAGTAAAGGTACATTGGATGTGCTGCTGCATCAGAGGACTGAGCACGCATATGAATGCCCGATATGCAAAGACGTCGATTGTGATAATAAGAAAAACACCCAGGGCGACAGTAGTAAATTGAGTACAGTGAAGCTGATGTGCATAATGACAAATGTCAAGCAATCCCCAGAGGACTGAACTGGATACTCGAATGGTGCAGAGATAAAAGACAATTCCATAATGTCTCATCAAACGGGCATTAGAGGTATTTATGCATTAACACAAAAAGAGAACATTGTTAATGCACATTTCAAAGAGTCTAACACGCTAACAGTATTTTAATTTTATCATACGTTTCACCTTCTAGTCCGCTAATTTTACCACATAGTAGCTACTTCAGTCAAATTTTTAAAATGCCCTCTACACCAATAAAACCAGCACAGTTAGATTAGCTACTTCAGTCAAATTTTTAAAATGCCCTCTACACCAATAAAACCAGCACAGTTAGATAGCTGTAAACAATCTCTTTCCAATGGTACCTCATTTAGGCTTGTATGTCATTTCTGAGCTGAGATATGTAGGTTTTTGTGGAGATGAGATGTAAGAAACAGCCGCTAAAACTTGTGACCCAGAAACAAGAAGTTTTTTACTGCGCAACCTACTGCGCAGTTCTGTATCGGCTTTGTTGACATTGGACTGTCATTGGACAAGATGGCAGGCAGTGAGACTCAGCTCACTCAGCCGCATGCGATTGCCTAAAAAATGTCACTGTAAATCTAAACAGCCAGAGTCGGGGAAAAAAATTTAATATGCAAATGTAAAATTGGACGGAGAATTCAATTGTAACTAGCATTACCACAACTGGTAATGTTTAAGCCTAAAGCCAACCTCGAATTTACCGCTATTTTCAATCAAACTGATAGACTAACAGAAAAACAGAGAATGTCCGGCTGTCGTAGACATGCGCTGTTAATCGGGTTCCTTCCCGCCGTTTTCAGCTATTTAGAGTGGGTGAAAATCACACCAATGGCAAAATTTCATGAGAGATTAGGACCCATCCCGAAACCCCAGCCGACATTTCCGAAACAAGTTTTAAACGGTTTCTATGGTAACGGAAATTGTCGAAAAGATAGCAAATTTCCGGATCTGTGGTCCCTAGTTAGATAGCTGTAAACAATCTCTTTCCAATGGTACCTCATTTAGGCTTGTATGTCATTTCTGAGCTGAGATATGTAGGTTTTTGTGGAGATGTGATGTAAGAAACAGCCGCTAAAACTTGTGACCCAGAAACAAGAAGTTTTTTTCTGCGCAACCTAACTGCGCAGTTCTGTATCGGCTTTGTTGACATTGGACTGTCATTGGACAAGATGGCAGGCAATGAGACTCAGCCGCATGCGATTGCCTAAAAAATGTCACTGTAAATCTAAACAGCCAAAAACGGTAAAGAAATTTTGGCTCTCCTGTCAAATCCGGACGAAGAATAAACAGCCGTGGACGAGTTAGTCAGAGTTCTCTCCCTTGGCCGCACTCCGAACAGTAATCGGAAAACAAAAGAAATAAACGACACACTTACCTATCATCCTGCGGTTGCGTGTAGGGCTGCGTACGGTTTCGTGAGGCATTGTGAATGGTTGTGTAGTCATCATCATGCGGTTGTTGGGTTATAGTTAGGGGTAGGGTTAGGGTTAGGGGTAGGGTTAGGGGTAGGGGTAGGGTTAGGGGTAGGGTTAGGGTTAGATGTGAAAATTTTGACGTAGGATTTCGAAATACTGGCCGACAATCAGATGTTTGTGGGAGTGGCGCCACTGAAACTCTGCCAAATATGACGCCAATAGCGTGCGGCTGGTGCCCCAATCATTGGCGAATTGTGCGTTTGATTAGCATCCAGAGGCCCTCGATTGTTTGTGTGTGTATGGGACTGTGCGCGATTATAGGGAACTCCGGCGTCAAAATTGTCAAATATAACGCTAAACTTAACCCTACCGCTAACCCTAATCCTAATTCTACTCCCTAGCCCTAACCCCTACCCCTAACCACGCAAATTTATCGATCATTAAAGCATACAAATCAGCAAAAACCAACAAACAAAACACACCCAAAAAAAACCAGATTTGTCCTGCAGCGTGGAAAAAAAACCCAGATCTGGGGGAAACAACCAAGCATTGGCAGCCCTGATGTCGACATCACTGTCTTCTTTGTTTCGTTGTGGCTTTTCCGATCACTGTTTGGAGTGCGGCCACGGGAGAGAACTCTGACTAAGTCGTCCAAGGCTTTTTAGTCTTCGTCCAGATTTGACAGGAGTACCGAAATTTTATATACAAATGTAAAATTGGACGGAGAATTCAATTATAACTAGCATTACCACATCTGGTAATGTTTAAGGCCTAAAGCCAACTTTGAATACTTACCGCTATTTTCAATCAAACTGATGTAACAGAAAAACAGAGGACCTCCGGCTGTCGTAGACATGCGCTGTTAATAGAGTTCCTTCCCACCGTTTTCAGCTATTTAGAGTGGGTGAAAATCACACCAATCGCAAAATTTCATGAGAGATTAGGACCCATCCTGAAACCCCAGCCGAAATTTCGAAGCAAGTTTCGAACGGTTTCCATGGTAACGGAAATTGCCAAAAGATCGCAAATTTCCTGACACCGTAGTCGCTACACATAGAACTGGGAATTTCTAGTATTAGAGTAATAGTATTAGTATTCTACTTTTCTGCTATTCTTCATCCCGTGTGGGGTGCAATTTTTCCTTATTTAATTTTGAAGCTCCACCGGCCCACCCTGGCTACTGCCGGGAGCCCTAATATAACCTAACGGTAGAAAGGGATTTACGGGACCTCTCCATGGGTGATCCTCATCGGAATAGTGGTCACAGGGTGTTTATCACTCTGTGTGATGCCCTGGTGGGGTAAAAGTAAAACTTACTTATTTTAAAAAAAAAAATTGGCGCTACTTTGATTCATTCCCCAAAATGGCGGCATGCCACATTCTGGCCATAAAATATCCGAACGATGGTGTTCGCGTATATCTAAAATACGGACTGTCGAGGAAATTGCAGGAGATGCGGTAGCTGCCGCTCATGAGTACCAGCCATCTAGTTTAGCTCCCATCCGCGCCGCACGTAGCGGCACGGGGGATACGCTCGGCGGTGAGGCACACTCGCAGAAGCAGGTCGGCAAGCAACGTATCGTTGAGATCCTGTCAGAGCATTTGTTTCGTTATCCGGATCCGGCACATATATTTTTAATAGAACTGACCCGCATTGGGATATTTTTGGATATTTATAGCCAGAAATTGGCCAATTTAGCTCTCTTTCGAACGCCATCATATTAAAGCCGCCATTTTGGGGAACGATTCAAAGAAGAGCCAACAGATTTTTGGGCTGCAGTGGGTGGGCTGGGATGTAAGGCTCTTAGATGTGTCCTTGCATTTTCTAATGCTTCATTGTTTGTGTGTTCTTCCTGTTTGTTAGTGGCGTATCGTTTACAGACAGGATGTTGCAGAACAAGAACCCACCAGCTATTTTTCATTGTTTGCGATTTCACTAGGCAATTTTACTATGACTTTCAGTTGCTTACCATTACTTTTAAATGATCGGCTATCGATAGAACTGGCAAAACAAACACAAGGCAGTCTGCTACCAAATCACCTACAGCTGGGATCGAATAATGAAGCCTAAACCACAAACATTGATTGTTTCCAGATATACACTTGGAATTTTTAAAATGCAGTTTAATGAGACAGGAGGGAGGGGAGGAGCAGCAAAGGGAGACTGAAAGAAAAGATGCTGGTGACATCATGGCATGGAGGATTTGATTGTCAGAGTTGATTGAAAGTACACAAGACAGAAGGTCATGGATAGACATGACTACCAATTCCACATTGCATGGACTTCGAGAAGAAGAAGAAGAAATGTTAAACTAACAGATCACATAAAGCTGTTAAGGGAAGTCAAGGAACTGTGTCACTCACCATTACATATAATAGAGTATTTAAAAAGTTAACATAGAGTATTGTTATAAAACTGCTGATTTGTTTTGCAGCCAACAGTAAACTGAGGAATTTTCTGACCCATGCTAGGGATGGCAGCATCCGAGCAATCAAAGTTACAATAGAAAATGGTATGTACATCTGGTGTGTAAGTTGTAATAGCTGTGAGAATTGAATATTAAAATTTGTCATGGGTTCTTTAACTCTTTGAGTCCCAAGGAACGCATCATACGTTCATAGATTCCTACCTAGAGGCCCAATGAACGCATGGTGCGCCGATTTTACGTCTCTCTTGACTACCCCTTGGGCCTGTGATGCTAAACCCCCTAGGACTCAAAGAGTTAACTGAAGTGGGGAAAATAGTACTCTGATTTATATACTTTATGTAAAAATAGAAGACCCAGAAGAGAAAAAAACACTTGCATTCTTTATGGTCTAAATATCTATGGATAACTGGCTCATAAACTGTATCATTACTTGCTTGTAAACTAAAATTCTGTGGTCATATTAAGCCTAATTGTTTAGAGAGAACAGCAATGGAGGATATAGTTCCTGTAAGGAAAAGGTAAGGGTCAACCGGCATGATACTTTTAACTATTTCACTGCTGTTCACATGTTTGGTTGTTTGCCCGTAGACTGAACTCTTTCTCTGGTTTCTGTGCCTTTATCACTGTGAAGGACTGAACTCCTTCTCTGGTTTCTGTGTTTTTATTGCTGTGAACGACTGACCTCCTTCTCTGGTTTCTGTGCCTTTATCACTGTGAACAGCTGAACTCCTCCTCTGTTTTTTTTGACTTTATCGCTGTGAACAACTGAACTCCTTTTCTGGTTTCTGTGCCTTTATTGCTGTTAACGACTGACCTCCTTCTCTGGTTTTTGTGCCTTTATCGCTGTGAACAACTGAACTCCTTCTCTGGTTTCTGTGCCTTCATCGCCGTGAATGACTGAATTCCTACGCTGGTTTCTGTTCCTTCTTCGCTGTGAATGACTAATATATATATCAGATGGCAAGAAAACTAGTTTAAGTTGATAAAGAGTTAAGGGAGTTTCTTTGAAGAAGTTATAATCAAGATGACTTTGAAGTGTGTACTTCTGGCAGTGAGCAAAACTATGTAACCCAGCCTCACCATCAATAGGATAAACTGGCGTAGCTGAGAAAAGGCCATTTGCATGTCCGACATAATCATCATCGAAAAAAAAACAAACATTTTTAACAATATTAAAAAAAAGGTATTTAGCTTGTCATGGTGTTTTGTTAAGTTTGCACCGTTTCCTTTCTGTAAAGATGAGTTTTCTTGGTGTCATGCCAAAGTGCATCTGACTGGTCAGTAGAAGGGCCAACCCACCACTTCTCTAGGATCTATATTTTTAGTTGTAACAAACAATTGCCAGCACTGCCAAGGAGTCTTTTGCTTTTAGAGGATAAAAAAGTATTCAGCACAGGAGAAAGGCTCGGCAGTGACCTTGTTTTGCACAGTGGTACACACCTATTGTGGGTTATATAGTATCGAAAGGGTTAAGGACACCCTGACTTTGAATATTTATGTGGAAGAAAGGTTGACAGGGGATCATTCGGAATTATGAGAATGATGTTCTGCAAGAACCTGGTGATATTGATGATATAGAAATAATGAAAGCTGCTATAATGCAGTGGCTGGCGTTTTTGCATGACTGTTAGTGCTCTCTAGGTCATTTTTAACAAACAAATGTTTCCAGGGCTTACAAGCCCATAAGCCTAAACTGGGTACCTGGAAATATTATGGGAAGTAAAGGCATCTGGTGTGAAATTAATCACATCACCCATCAAGTGTCTTTTGATCTCCACCTATACCCAGTTGGGACAACTAACACCACTTTTAACACATAGAAAATACATTTGTATAACAAGCAGATCCAAACTATCTTTTGGCCAACTTTATGCTGTCGGTATTAAACACGGATCCTTAATAAAAAACAAGTGAAAACTACAACAACAGAGAGGAGATGTCTGAGAAGAGCAGCAAGAAGAGACACAATTAAAAATGAAGACATCAGAAGAAAACTAGGACTGAACCTAGTCATACAGTTCATTAAAGAGGAGTAGTTTAAATAGTTTCCCCACCAGATTAATAAACACTGCTAGATATAAATTTTCTCTCTGTATTCACTCATATTTTGACCACTAAAAAAAAGGTGAGTGTTTCATTTGTCAATCATTACCCATGTTAGTGTTTATTGTAAAATTCTTGTTGTTGTTGTAGTTGTTGTTCGTCTTCTTTTTCTTCTTCTTTTTCATTTGTCTTCTTCTTTTTCTTCTTTCTTCTTCTTCTTCTTCTTCTTCCTCCTTCTTCTTCTTGTTATTCTTCTTCTTCACTTTCACCTGTTGTGAACTCCGGCAGAAAGTTCTATTTTTTTTGTCCACTTCTGGACGTTTGTCTTTTTTTGTTATACTTGATGCATGAATATCATTTTTACACATCCGGCTTATTGGTACTCAGATTGTTGGTTCCTTGCCTCTCAGGCAGATGCACTGACCTTGAAGGAAGCATCCTGATACGTGCCGACCTTCATTGTGACGTGCGGAAGCTTTATTGTAACGAGTGTAAAAGTGACTAGGGGTGTCGCAAGTTAACAAGTGGCATCAACACTTAACATGCCACTGGCCAAGAGTAACACAACATGATGAATGCTGAAGCTTCCCGTAGTAGAACAAGAACTCTCTTTAAAAGTTCCATTTGTGTATTGACAAATTCATCAATCTCAATGATCAATTTCAAGAATACATATGCAAGTAATAATCAACTCGTTCAACCAAAGCTCGCTCGTACATCCATGTAATGATATGTCCTCACGATAGGTCGCAGTCCGACCTTGAGATCCAGACGATTTACTTTCTCCTCGGACAAGTCCGAATTAAGCAATGAAAGTATAACGGCTTACTGCCGAGAATGTAGTGCTCACCAGCTTCCTGCTGAGGTCTTGGAGTCCCGGGGTAAAACGTCCTCAAGGATCCAACTTTATATAACGTTTGCTTCCGTGGGATCCCGGGGTAAAGCGTCCTCAAGGATTCCCACGTCCGTCTCCTTCGGACTATAAACATCAACTCTTTTTGACAACAATAACTTAACAACGTTACGTATTGTTTTGACGTCTTATTTGCTCACTCCGTACTGGTGCGTTCTGGTGCACATTCGCACGCGACACATCCCTAATTGGACAACTCTTATGGCATTCTTGTCGAGAGGACATTGGATTTATTATTTGTCTCCCCTTACAGAACCCACACGGAAAATGGTTGAATAATTATGACCTTTTTTATTTCCAGAGGAACTTACATACTCTGCCTCCAGCAGACCCAGAGGTTCTTGGGAAGATGATATCCTTTTTTCTTGCCACCTTAAAAAATGAGTCAGTTGATAGATCATCCTCACTGCGTAGTGAATCATTCAGCTCAGATGCCCTTGCAACAGATTGAAAATGCATGCTTGCTTAATGTTTTAAATAGTGAGGTGGTTTATTTTTATTGATTTTTCTTTATGTGTTTATCTTTTAATGAAAATAAATAGAATTAACTGTGCCCAACCAATGTTGATTGTTTTGCTGTTCCTTTCAGACTGTGTACTTAATCACTTAGTATATGGGCGTAAATTAATTTTGTTTTTAAACCTAAGTTTATGAAATGACTCATATTTCATGTTGTAAATAGCTTAACTCTTGAAACACGTCTGATTTTATTTTAAAGAAATTTTTCTTTAACTGTCTCACATTATGACAGTGCAGTTCTACCTTCACTTGATGAGCTACCATGCTACATCCTGTATCGATTTGACTCCAAAACTAGTGCTGGATATCAGTGGCTGTTTATTGCGTGGTCACCTGATTCTGCACCAGTAAGTATTTGTAAAACAGCCTGTCTGTGGTGTCTTTCTATTTCATTCTTGTACTATGTGCAAGATTTCAACATGGCTGTCACATTGACTTATACGGAATAGTCATATTTTATATTTTTTTGTTTTTGTTACTAGCATCATTGCAAGGTTATTGAAGTATGTAAAGTATTTCTTGATTGAACAGTCGAAAAACATAAGTAATGGTAATTACAAAGACAGTGGATGCTCCAAAATGCAATATCAAAGTAAATGGGACAATCCTTGAGCAAGTTTATACAGTTAAATACTTGGGCACCCTAATAACATCAGATGGAAGATGTATTAAAGAAGTTAAATGTAGAATGGCTCAAGCCAAGGCAGCATTTAGCAAAATGAAGATTATTCTGTGCATTCCTGGACAGATAAAGAGAATAGTGAAGATGTCTTAAAATAAACTGATTCACAAAGAGAACTGATTGCCCATATCAAAAGGAGACAATCTACAATCTTTGATGATGTAACGGCAGGAAAATTGGAAGGGGGGGGGGGGGGCAGAGAGAGACAAAGAGAAGATGCTGGAGTTTGACATCATGGCATGGAAGATCATAGGTGTCAGTTCTGACACAAATAACCACCCTTCCCTATTCATCATTACAACCAGCAGGTCCTTTACAAAATGTGGTTCTGTCACGGCACACCTGAAAGTTTTTCCCTCTTTAGCCAATTCTCCAGCTATATATGCTTTTATAGCCAGTGAATCGTGAGTGTCTTGTACGTTGAGAGTTTCTTGGGATGCATAATGTGGTAGTCTCCCCTTGCTTTCCACATCCATATGGCTGTGCACTTTAACCTTTCAGCCATCTTGTAGGTTGCCAGGGTAAGTGAGTACCCAGCTTTGTGGTGCTACAGCCCCAAGTGGTAAATGCATTCAATAAAGACTACTTTTTGTTTTCTTCAAATGAACTCTTTCAGTCCCTAGGAACACATCTTACTTGTCTACCTGGAAGCCCAGTGAATGCAAGGTGTGCTGATTTTGCATTTCTCTTTACTACCCCTTGGGATTCTGATGCTAAACTTCTTGGGACTGAAAGAATTATTGCATAATACAAAATTGGTGGCTTTGATGCTAGTGAAATTGTTTCACAGTGCAGCCCTTGATGTTTACCAGGGTTTGATTCCCACTGTTCTCATGGCTTTCAGATAGAAGTATGAGAGTGGCACCATGGAAGAAATTTGGACCTCATGATGTAATATTCCAGATGTTGGCACTGAATTCAAAGCAGCCAATCTCCCTTCTGGAGGTAGCTGTCATAAATTACAACTAATTGATAATATGGTCACATTAATACTCCCCCTGTTAGCAGTGGATACAATGCAGCCAATCTCCCTCCTGGAGGTAGTCTTCATAAACCACAACTAATTGATAATATGGTCACATGGAACTAAAATGGGAAAACTAGATATAGAAAAAGCTGTTGTGAAATGAAACATACAGGAATGAAACAAGAAGTGAAAAATATTAGAATTAATTTGGCAACTCCTACACTATGAATGAAGCAGTTTTTAAAGGAGAGATGAGTGGTTTGACCCTCTTGGCAAGATTTTATAGCAGCGGCAGTGATGTGAATACTGCCATGGTTGTCAAAACTGTTGAAATGGGAAAGACTGGTTTAGGAGTTAACTTTTGAATATCCGAAATATGTTCATAGAAATTAGCTGCTAACATCTGAAGTTTTCCAAGAATATACCTTGTTGCATTTTTTGCAGATGATTGGAATATATCCTCGGTAAAGCAGACTGAAAGAGTCTGAATGACCTATTGTTTGCAATTTTTATTCCTTACAAGTAGTTCCAAATAGTCAGAGATCTGTCGATTTATTTCCTATACATAGCTGGTGTCAATATCTGTTACTTGTTGTTTATGAAGGCAGTATCATAATTCCAACATACTCATTTAGATTCAGCTGCAGGCAATTTAATACAGACCCCATTGCATTGAATTAGACAGTATATGAGCATTGATCATTTAGAAGGCAATGGCAAACTGTAAAGCATAATTTTCCCTAGTAAAACCAAAATAGTCTATACATTTGCTGTAACAACCTGTAATATTGAAGAAAAAAATTATATGCAACTATATTTTTGAAAATATAGTTGATACTGGTATTCTATTTCAGAATGTCTTCACAGCATTTGTTTGTTTATTTTGTTCTCAGGTTAGGCAGAAAATGTTGTATGCAGCCACACGGGCAACCATGAAGTCAGAATTTGGAGGCGGTCAAATTAAAGATGAGATCTTTGGAACTGTACAGGTTTGTTAACTGTGAAATGAGGTCACTGATAGCATCCCACTGTACAGTTCGATAGTAACTGAACACACTCAGAAACCCTAGTTGGTGCTTATCAGAGTTGGGGGAGGGGGGATGTAATCTGCTGAAGTTGTTTAAATTTTGCCACAAAACCATTGTGTCAGAATTTGACAATATATGGCATAAATTGAAGCTGCTGTGGCATATGGGAAAGCATTAATGTAGAGATCCTGGGTAGTTAGCTCACTTTGGATATGTTACCCATGGTATATTTTGAAATAAACAGGCAGATTGTTTGATTGATACTGCATCATTTGGTGGTAAAATGTTACATAAAAAGACAGATGTGGTCAAGTTTCCTTGAGAGTAACTAAAGACTGTGGTAACACAAATGAATCATCACGGTCTAAATGGTGCGACAGGAAGTGACCTAGGGATCTGGCCAACACTCAGTACTCAGAGGTAAGGCAAGACAGGTATACACCCAAACTACTACTGGTCCTTCAGAATGGAAACTCTGCACTGGCTGCTGAAGATGGGGTTGCATGGATTGTGGGAATGTCCCAAGCACCATGATATCAATACCTGATTCAGCTGAGCTCAACCAAAACTGTGGTGGTGTAGTGTTTAGTGTATTTACCTATCATGACTGCAGCCTAGGTTCACTCCCAAGCAGGAGCTGGGTTATTTTTTCTGGTCTGGGGTTTACCCAGCTTCATAAAGATCGGCAGCAAGCAGCCATTTTGTATGATTTGTTTGGGAAGAAAAGGCCATGGGCAAAGGAACTGGGCCCAGATCTCTTATATCCTGGCCTAGAATATGTGAAAGTCTAATAGTTCACATACTATTCTTTGCAGTGGGGCTACCTTTACTTGTTACTAGGGCTGTACCGAATAGTGATTTTCACTATTTGGCCGAATACGAATAGCTGGACCAACTATTCGGCCGAATACGAATACGAATAGTGAATCATCACCATCATGTGCTTTGCCGGCTGGCATAGGGGATTATGCCTCGCCACAATCTGCGATCTCCTGCAGCACGTATTAGTTCGTGTGCTGACACACCTCCATGAAAAACCTTTGTTCCATGTTGTCAGCATTAGGGCAGCTTTTTTTTCTCACTGAAGATATTTCCAGCTGTACTAAACAGGAAAATACGACAAATACGGAGAGTCAAGATAAAAACCCGCAAATCGAAACATCAAAAACAAAAATAACGCCGACGAAGAAAACAATGCCGTCCTCACAAGTCGCGCCAGCCACTCCCTCACTCCCTCCCTCCCCCCCCCCCCCCCCCCAGCGAGCTCAAGGTTTCAACGGAAACAAGATAGCGACATCAAAGACCACCGCGGCCACGGAGACGGACATCGCCAAGCAGCCAACACCTGAAGATCAAATAACGAAAAAATCATTGCAGACGAAAAATCCAGACGCCGAGCGGCCAACGCCAGAAGATCAAACAACAAAGACAACGAAGAAACCGAACGTCGATCAAAACATTCAGCCGCTGCCGTTTCCACCAGACGACGAAAGAACAGTTACGACACCCATAAATGATGACGAACTCCTGTTACTTCAAACAATCAACAAAGAGGACTCTCCACTCAAAGAAATCAAGCCGACAACACTAGAACACTTGCTTTTCTGCCCTTCTTACATCTTTAAGTGTTGCATTTTGTTTCTACAGCAACACACCTAAAAACACTATACTTGCAACACATACAAGATGGAAATAAAGGGGCACTTGGTACGCTCGTAGGTGGTGCACAAAGATAACGCCTGACAGTATAAACCAAGGTGGGAAATCTTGATGTTTTTTTTCCACCAGTCCAGAAACGGTTGTAACCACTATTCGTATTCGGCCCGACCGCAACTATTCGGCCGAATACCGAATAGTTTTTGGGTCCACTATTCGGCCCCGAAGCGAATACGAAGCGAATATTCGGTACAGCCGTACTTGTTACAGCCGAAATTGTAAACGTATCGTTGTTACAAACATTTGTAACTATTTCACCCCAAGAAGCCTAAATCTAGTCGCTTCCAGTTGTACCATGTTCCCGTAAGTACAGATAAATGTTGTCTGCAGTGACCTGTTCTCGAAAAGTGCAGTTAGATTCCAATGGTCCAGTGTCTGCATGTTCTGAATAGGCTAGTATATGAATATAGTAACTAAAAATAGTATTTAGGGCGTTTCTTATGACCCCAATGATTTTTTTGAAAACCAAGCATGTCACCCCATACATTTTTTTAATGCTCTGGTGAATGTATTCCATTTAATGCTTCAATTTGTTGGTTTTAATTGATTACCCCATTTATATCTTTATATGTTACAAATAGAACTTATAAATATAGATAAACAGAGTGTTAAAATATTTATTAATGACCTGTGTAATATGGTTTTAAAAAAAAAAATTGTGTTTTATTTTGGGTAAGGATTTTTTCCTGGAAATTTATACGGGTAGATGAACCAATTTTTGTAAATCTTTCTGGGGCTAAAAGGTTAAGTTTATTTGGCTTCTTTCTGTAGTAGTGATTGATTACATCATTGATGGTTTGCTAAGCCTGTTGTTTGGTGGGGCAGGAATACAATCTGACCTGGCTGATGCCCATTTCCTCTCAGGTGAGCCAGTGCTCTGTTAACTTGAAACCTCATGACAGAGAGATCGAAGCTAGAGTTTAGAAAAGAAATACCGTCACCTATTGGCAAGCCCCTCTGTACCAGAAACCCAAATGGCTCCCTACCAGTAAAACAGCAAATTATTAACAGCATCTTTGTCTGTCTTGCTATCAGTGCCAAATATTGACAGTAAGGAGATTACAGGAACAGGAAATAACTACATGTAACATGTGCTATCACTAGGAAATTTGTGGAGGTCAAAAAAAATCAAAACTAAAACTAAACTTAAAATTGTCAATTCTAATGTCAGATTGGTATTGCTGTACTGGAACCATGGGAGCATAGAAATAAAGTAAGACAAAAAAAAAATGGAGAAGGGAGCTAGAGAGTGGAGTTAAAAAGCATGCAATAGCAAAGGATAAAATGACTTGGCGTGAGTTGGTTGAGGGCCTATGCTCCATTGGGGGTTAGAAAGGCACAAGAAGAAGACACATGCTGTCTCTAAAAGTCACCAACATAAGAACGGACAAGGTTAGAAATACCAGCATTAGAGAGAAGATTGTAACAAGACTGTTTCTGAAATACATCAGAATACAGAGAATGAAGTGGTCTGGCCATCTAAAAAAAATGCAGGGAGACCAAACTGCACATAAGACCTTTTGCAGAAAACTATCTGAATGGAAGGCCAGAGAAAGGCCTAGGAAAATTTGGATAGAAAATGTAACTGAATCTTGCAAAAAGATGAACAAATCCATCACTCAAGAAACACAGGAAGGGCAAGACAAATAGAGAAAACCACGACACTGGACAACAACCTGGTAACAGTGGCATTGCTGACTAAAGAAGAAGTTTGTCGACACTGGACAACAACCTGGTAACAAGGTGTTTGCTGCTAAAGAAGAAGTGTTTTTTTTTGGCTTGAAAAACAATAGATGTATATGTATGATAGAGTCAGTAAGATATGGCAGATATTTTATATACCAAACTATTGATCTATGTTGCTCTACAGAGTGATGTATCCTTGGCAGGCTACCGCAGGCATGTTCAGTCAGCTCTTGCACCTGCACCTCTTACATTAGCAGAAGAGGAACTGCAGTTGGTGAAGCAGAATGAGGTAAGCTATATTATTTGCTGAAACATTTGAAACCTGTCTGTTCAGTTGATGAAGTAGAGTAAGGCATTTCAGATTTTCTACCTGTTCATTCATAGTCCTTTAATTCATCAAGCAGAATGGTTTGTGATAGATTTTCTACTGAAACATTTATATTCTGTCTTCTTCCTTTTCTTCTTCTTCACTTTCTGCAAGTTCTTCACCAGAATGTTGGAAGAAATGTATCTTCTGCGAGCTGTTTCCAGTGCAGTGTATAAGTTGTCTTCATTTCTTTAAAGCTGTTCGTAATGCCTTCATTCCATCTTCTGTTTGGCCTTTCCCTTGCTCTGTGTCCTTTATATGTCTGCAGTGTGGCTGTCTGTGGAAGTTTGTCCCATGACATTCTGAGACTATCTCATCTGTGAATATTCAGTGATAAAATATTAACTGATGTTGGCTGTCAGAATGGCATTTTATACAATTACCGGTATCTGAAGCTGGTTTTTTGTTCAATAAGTTTATCATAACAGAGGCTAATGTAGCTTATTGACTAGAAGTGCTACCTGGTGGTCTTGTGTTCAAAAACTCATGAAGGCAGAGCATTCGAAATAAATTGATCTGAGTTCCCAGACCAGATTAATCACATTCCTATTTGGGTCATGAGCCCCATTTTGGAGGGAATATAATAGACCCACTTACCCTCCCCTCCCCCCCCCCACACCCACACACACACACCCCACTCTCCTTTTCCAAGATATCATGCGATGTGACTAATTATGGATGTTTCCTGTGACAATGGTGTACATTTGCCTGAGAGACAGGAAACCAGCAGTCTGCATACAAATAAACCAAATCTGTAAAATTGATATGCAATCAATACTCGGTTCAGGAATGATGCCAAAGTTCAGATGTGGGCGACCAGCTAGAACTGTCTGCTGCAGTTTACAGCTGATTAACATGAAGAAGTCTAAAATGGGTACAAGGAAGTGTTCTTGGGAGCAAAGGTCACTGGTGCTGTGTTGAAGACAACAACCCATTAAGTGCTGATTGTATCTCTACAAATGTGAGGCTTGCGCCATATCGACATATGCCACAGGGCATAGAAAAGGGTTCTCTACTGTTAACAACCACACCCTTGCCACAGCCTTGATTATACTTAGATAGTTATAAAACAGCTATTCTGATGTTTGAAAAATCTTGCATATCGGTGCAGAGCTACTTCAAGGTTTAAGGTTTGAGTCTAATATTTGAAGACCAGTTACAAGTTGTGGCATAAGTTTCTGCAGAATAAATAATTTGAGGATTTATATAAACTTCTCCCTTTCCATAAATCTTGGCATAGTAGGTAGGATGTCTTGCTTTATTAAATAAGAGCAGAAACTGTTTAAGAGCAGAAGTGTTTAAAAAAAGATCTACTAATAACTGAAATTTAAAAAGAGCAGGCCAGATAGGCTGCAATTAAACATACAAATGAAATCATAGAAACTACCCCCAGGGCTATAACAAGTTTATTTTTCTGGTTTACACATAATTGGATCCTTAGTGGTATTGTGAAATTCATGCACTGCGCTCTGATTCTTGTGTAATCTATGGGAGGAATATACAGCCCATATTTTTTTAACTGAAACCAGTCCTTTACAAACCACATCATATGTATTAGAAACTATGATTTCATATGACCAGGTTAATAACCCAGTGAACTTCCAACTTTTTTCTTAGTTGGAAACTGCTATGGCAATGGTAAGACTGCTGTTATTGACATCATACTGCATCTGAACTTCTTGTGTCCAGTACATGGAATGCAGTCTTCTGTTTGTGTGTTTTATGTGTTTACCTAACATTGCTAACAGTCTCCCCAGAACTAGCATAGAACATTTGATTTAACTGTTTTTATAATGTGTTTACTGAAAGCCTCATAAAAAAGCAACTAATATAGCAACACATTTGTTGCCTAATGTAATTAATTATAAGAGTAGACAGGTGTTTTGCATTTGCCCCCTTATTTGTTTTCCTTTGTTTGATGGACCCTTATTACAACTAATGAGCACAACATCTCAATAATTGATTAAGTTGTTTACTTTTTTTTTTCAACTTTGTTTTTCTGAATATTGTGGATCATAAGTGCAATTTTTATAGAGATAATTGGAGATTCACTGGGGCTATAAAATGTGTGCCTTGTGTGACACTCTCATCAGGTGGCTAAGCATTCTTTGGAGAAAGGCCAAGTCAAATGTGTTTAAACTGGTGCAGTCAAGTTGATCTTCTTGACCTTTGACATTTTGATGAGAAAAGCCTGCACTGCCTTTCAGTTCACTCTAACCCCATGCAATGCCTGATGTGTTAATGAATCTACCCCTTGTTTTCTATCCATAGCAGAATGTGCTCTCTTACTGTTTATATTTGATCTGGACATACTCAGAAAATCAGGACTCACCAAATGGCCACCACTGCTGCCATTTTATAAGTAAAGAATTCACAATATTTTATCATGGTATTTATCTTTACTTTAGTATCTCCGGTGAAACCTTCTGGTGCCAAAGAAGGTAAGGATCACATTCCCCTATGAGATAGAATTTTTACCTGAGTATGGCTCCAGGCTCAACCAAGTCTCATTAGGTAGTTAAAAACTAAAAAGTAAAGGACCCTTTCTATGCCACAGTTTTTTGGACGGCCAGAGTAACTGACAACAATTACAAAAGAAGCTAATGAAGTAGATCTCTATGTACAACAATAAGAAATAGGCAAACACTGTTCTTTGGCCACTTAATGAGAAGAGAGACATTGGAGAACATCATGACAACTGGAAAGATCAGTGGAAAAGTGGTAAAGGCAGAAACAATAACATGGAGGAATATTATCAAGAGAGCTGTTCCAGGCAACCAGGAATCGTGATCTGTGGAGACGCATCAGTGCCTATGCCAGTTGGCAGGGCATATGATGATGCTAGATAAAGAACAAAATAAAAAACAGATAAGCCTAAATGGGGAGCCATACCCAAGACCTTTAGGCTGACATATAAGCATCTAACCACAACGCTACCTCTACTTAACTGCGTACTGGAACATTTTCTGGAAGTTGAGGTGGCTGGTGTGATACCAACCACATCAGCCATTGATGCTGTTTGGTCATACAAATAATAACCCATCAGATATTTGCCATATTAGTATTTCAGCATGCACAGAGCCCCTAATTTTGATTCTGTATTTTTAAATATTTTTTTAATTTCGAGATATTACCTCTCAGATTAAACAAATTCCTTTTCAAACATCTCTACAGGAATAATGGTAATATTGCTTGCAGGATTCTAGACTAACACAGTAAAGGACATGACAGAAAGTTGTTTTGTCCCAGAAGGTAAAATTATTCTTACATTTGTCGATTTAATAAGGGTCCATGAGATATTAAAACTGTGGGTATGTTATGAGCAGAAATAAACTTAGAAACAGTGACAGCTGGTAAAACTGGGAAAGAAAGCAAGGAGAAGGCAAAGAAGTAGGTACCTTATTTTTTCTATTCTTAAGATGACTAGATTTAATGGCCCAGCTTCACTCGGGTTAGTGAAAGAAAGTCTGATTCTCTGGTCCTCTACCTAATTTTGGTCTCCACATCTGCCCTATATGTAGGCTTAGTGGAAATAGGGATCTAAAACCCTATATTTAATATCCTATCTTCTATTTCTTTAGTCATTGCTGCTAAGTGCATCCGAAGCGTCCCCTGTAATGCTAACACCAGTATTCAACAGTTTTGGAGACAGACAGATGTACTGTCTCAGCTACATATTGGTGACAAAAGTGTCATTTTACGTAATTAATTATATGCTGCCTTCACAATGGAAATTAGTGACAGCAGATTGGGCATCCAGTGCTGCCTTTGAGAATATTGCTTGGTAAGGTCCCAATCACTTCGACAGTTTGACTCTCGCATGACTCTGAAAACTACAAGAATGTTTTTTTTTCCCCTAAACTTCCCGCCACAAAACTTTCAACTCTGGTATGTTATGGATCATGAAACATGTTCACTAACTCTAAACCACAGAGTCAAATTAATTTAAAGTAGAATCTATCTTTATTCTACCTCATCTTGAGTCACAGCCAGAGAATAAACCTGTTTTGTTACATTTTCAATTTGGTCAGAGTGAGCTAAATAAATCTGGCTACCAGTGTGGTGATATCCACAGTATTTACATTTCAGAATTTGTCATTACTTGAGCATCTGCTGTTAAATCCTCTGGTACAGAAAGAGTTTAACACCTCTGTGATCTGGAGAAATATAGTTATTGTTTGAGCATGCTTGCATGTGTGCATGCTTGTTTGTAAACTATGAGGTCATGGAAGTTGGGTGGATGTGTTAAAATGTGTATTTGTTTGCTTAGAATATTTGATTCTAACATCATTTCAACGCTGCTGTGTGGTTCAGAAATGTGGAGAGTGACTAAAACAATTACTGATAAATACCAATGTTCATTAACAGACATTTAAAAAAAGTTAGTCTAGAGAATTTACTTCATTGCACCAGGTTTTACCCCAGAATGGCTGGCCGCACAAACTCCATAACGCCAGTGACGATCCACAGGGATCTCTGTAAAAATTGCACTTATTAACTGAACGGCGCAGCCATAAAACGAACCAGTGACCTTCAGCACGCAACAAACAGCTTGACTATTTCTGTGCTGAGTCCTTCCTAAAGTCTGAGGTACAGTAAATACGTGTAGAATAAAATATGAAAAGCAGAATGGGAGATATGCTAGCCACTTTAGTAATACAGATTCATGATACTCAGGAATCTAAACTCTTAGGTTAGAGTGTGAAGTTGTTGTTGGCAACTTTCCGTCTTTCCAGACAATAGTGTTATATTGTGCTGTTAGGAAGCTTGGGATTCACAGACCATGGCAGTGGTGAATGTGACTGGCACAAACTACCTTGCGTTAAAAAAAAGTGGATTAAGTTCCTCCTTTCCATAACACAAAGCTTGGGCAGTATTGCAGAGACCATATTTTGCCCATGCATCATGATGCCCTGTTCACCCCAAAGAAAAGGTAAAACACCAGTACATTTAGAACAAAACAAGGTGTAGAAGCTGCTGGATTAGAAGAGCAATGCTCTGTCCGCCCGCCTGTCGGAGCTTTCCTCCTAGACCAGCTGCCAGGCAAGATTAAGGGTCTTTTCTCCCTGCTGCCATAACATACAGTTTTCAGGTTGCCTTTCCTCTTCCTTGGACAAGGCTAGTATCCTCCCCCGTGTGCTCCTCTGGCAAAGCCATTGGCACAATTTGGGATGTCAGATTCAGTATTTGCCACCCTACATTCAATGTCAACAGAAGTCAGGTAGTACTGGCTACTTTAATACAGTAGCTCAGTCATATCCGAGCTGGAAGAGCAGTGTGAAGTGCAGAATGTAAAATATGCTGACTGCTTAACATTATAAAATGCTGTTGAATGTGTACTTTCAGGTGAATGCCAATGCTGGTGTTGACAGCAGGTTCCAGACCATGCCAGGTTTTGCCTTTCCTCTCAGTGCAGATGCTGAACATGCTTTGGCCTCTTTCAAGAATGGTGCCATTAATTATGTACAACTTGTAAGGCTTCATATATTTCGGTTTTTAAGTAGTTAGAACCCATTAGTATTTCATTGATTTTAATGCAGCACAGCAGTATTATTCAGTCGCAGTTTTATGTATCCAACATATCACTTGAAAAAAAAAAATAGTAATTCCTCAACAAAATATTGAATTCTAAAGTATAATTTTAAAACCATGTTTCAAATTTTTCACTACTATCATTTTAGTTCACCCGTATGCCAGTCAAAGAAGGACAGTCACTAAAGACAATGGAAGGAGAGTTAAATGCACTCAAAAACAAATACCTGAGGAAATTGATTAATACATAAAATGAATTTTAAAAAAGGACAAGAAATCAGAGAAATGTCTCAACAGCCACTGGTATCAATAGTTATAAGAGAGAAAAAGAACATGATAAAATATTGAGCACATCCTGAGACGATGCTGACAAACAATCACATAACAGCCACAGAAATATGAAACAAATGGATTGAGGAAGTCGTGATGTCTCAGTGAATAAATATTGGTAGGAGAGACCAAATATGCTGGACTGGATGTTGTACAACACAATTAAAGGACTGCACATGATATATCCAAGTGAGGGTATTGACTGTGAACCCTATGTGTGATGTATTAACAGCACATCATGATGATGTAACATGAATTAACTAGCACTCTTTCCTGAGGTTGGTGGATTTAATTATGACTGACATTTAAACAAAAATATTGCCATGGTCCTTCTTTGACTATAGTTTACCTGCAAGAACAAGAAATTCTTTTTTTTTCTTTTCCTCCTCCTCCTCCTCCTTCTTCCTCTTCCTCCTCCTCTTGATGCATGCTTGGTAGAGTACATTGTTTACATTCTTTCTATCTTTATGGTCCCCTAAAACTATCTGTAGCCGGATCACTGAGTTACAATTGACTATTTGAACAGATATTCCATTTCTGGAGATCATATGCAATGGAGATGCCTCATTTCTTCTTTACTTGCACTTAGCCTTGTAGTGTGGTTTGGGAATACACTTTATCTTTGACATGCTTCAGAGGTCTCGGCTAGATAGCGTCCTTTGGATATTTTCTCCAGGTCATGCTGGTGTGTTGGGAAATAAGCAGGCAGGCAGACTGACTGGTTCTGCCCCACTTGGTGGTAGATTGACATATGACAAGCTAGATGTTGTAAAGGCCATTTGGGAGTGAGTGAACATTGCAGAGGCATAAATAGATCATTATGGTCTGAGGAGAGTGGCACTGCGAGGAGTTACCAGGAGATCTAGCCGATGATCAGCACTGAAGGAAAGGGTAAGATTGATATAAAATCAGACAGTTACTGGTGCCATGAGAATTGGAGCTTTTTGCTTGCTGCTGAAGATGAGGACAGAGTGCTTATGGGAGTGTCCCGGGTGCTGTGATGTTAATTCCTAATTCAATATTCAACATTAAACCATAGCACAGCATGCCAGCCATCCTTTCAGGGTGAGCACATAAGAAGAGAATAATGATATGTGTCAACAGAATATGAAGGTTTAATTATATTTCAATCCACTAGATCATTTCATGCTAATATAGAGAAGCTTGCCCGGTAACTTTGAGAAAGCAATTGTGTGAACATGAAAATATCAGCAGTTCTGTAGTTTTTCTTTAACTTTGTTGTTTCAGAGCCTGGACCTTAAAAAGGAGGTTGTCAACTTGGCTGCGGCTAGAAACATCCAAGTTGATCAGCTTATATCTCAAGTCCCCACAGAAAACGCCAGCTATCACCTGTTTAATTTCAGTCATACACATGAGGGTGATTTTCTTCATAGTACAGGTAATCTTCTTCTTCTTCACATTCATTGGCTGTAACTTCCGGCATAAAGTTCTGATTGTTCATCTACTTCTGGACTTTTAGTCTTGTTCAAGAACCTTATTTTTGTGCGCACATCCATTTTACAGATTAGACCTCTGTGTGTGCAGATTGTTGGTTACTCTCCTCTCTGACTTTAAAGGAAACATCCCTTATTAGTCAACTCTTATGGCATGCTTGTTGGGGACAGAGGGTCTGTTTTCCTTTTTCCCCCCATATTGGGGTCCCAGAACCCACATGGGGAGTACAGGTAATCGTCAGTCAACCAGTTGCTGTCTCCAAGATGAAGGTTGGCTGCAATGGATCTCCAACACTGACTCTCCATTATATTGATTTTACACTCTCTCAGCCTGCTGTTCATCCATCTCATTATGTAGTCCTCCTACTTGTATAATTTTCTACCTCTTGCTGTCTTGCCTTTGAACATTCCCTCCACTATGGTTTTTAAAAGGGTGTTATGTCTTTTAATGTGGGCAAAATATATTATTTTCTCCTTTTTTTTATTTCTGTTAGTAATTATCTTTTCATTTGCAGTCTTTCCAGAACCTCTGTGTTTGATTGTTTTTGTGTCCATGAAATATGACCTATTACAGATAAAGTTCTCTCCTGTCGTGCATTTTTCAGCATATAAAACATTTTTCGTTTGTGGGGTCGAGGACCCCATTGTGGGGGAAAACATGAATAGACACATGGCTGTCAGATAAGTCAGATCTGTAAAACAGATGTACATGCAACACTCAGGTTCTGGAACAGGACTGAAATCTAGAGGTGGACGAATAGCCAGAACTTTCCACCAGAGTTTACTCTGAAGAAGAAGATAAACATTTTACTCTTCATCAATATGTTATAATTCACTCAAGATGAAGCAGCAGCAGAAGAAGAAGAATGCTTATGTTGGTTTTAATACAGGACTCATCTGATATATACCTACTGTATGTTCATCATAAAGTGCCTTGCCAACTGGCTTGGGTGATCACTCCTTTCCACAACCTGATTTTTAACAGCATGCATCAGTTCTTGTGCTGACACCCCTCAATATCATGATAAAAGACTCAAGAATCTGTTCTCATGGTCTTTCTCTGCGTCTTTTTCCACAGATCACAACATGTGCCAGTTTCCTTCTTCCAGTAACATGAACAAAAAAAATTATGATTGTCTCTTTCTGATATTTGTGATAAAGTCTTCTGGTCCTTGCCTCTTTCAAAACATCTGGCCTGCTCATTTTGGTTGTCCAAGTAATTTTATGGATTTATCTGTAAAACCACATCTCTGAGGCCTCAAGAAATTGTTTGGCTTATTTGTTAATTGTCTACGATTCACAGCCATATATTAAAACTGGTTCTATATAGTATGCAAGCAATTTTTTTGTATAAGCTCCATTGATATGGTTTATTGCATAAGATGTTCTTTATTTTATAAAATGCAGTTTTTGTGTGCCTATTTTTTGTTGTTGAAATCTCTGGGAGACATCTTCCATCTGATGTTATCAATATGCTTATCTACTTAAATTTTTGTCCTTATCCTAAGATAACACCATTGACTTTCATTATACATTTAGGTAAAATTCATTTGTTTGTATATTTCAGTGTTTATTTACTCAATGCCTGGTTACAAGTGCCCTATCAGAGAGAGAATGCTCTACTCCAGCTGCAAGAATCCCCTGGTCAATCAATTGGCTTCAATGGGCATTGCGATAGAGAAAAATGTAGGTATCTGTGGTTATTAAGATGGAGAAATGTATGGGTAAGCTTGGTTATTGTGGCACTGAGGTAGAGAAAAATGTGGGTATGCTGGTATTTGTGGTACTGAGGTAGAGAAAATGGCTATCCTCCAAATAACGGTCCTAAATTATCGAGGCAAAAAATATACCCTAACAGGGCCTCAGTCACGTGTCAATTGCGCACTTCTGGGGACTATAACGCCACCGCCGAAGTGCGAACTTCAGGCAACCTCTGCCACCGCCGAGAGTATCCCCCATGCCGCTCATGCGGCGTGGATTGAGGCTAAACTAGATGGCTAGGACTCGCAAGCAAATAAAATAAAGAAAGCTGCAGGAGATGCGGTAGCTGCTGATCGTGAGTCCCAGCCATGTAGTTTAGCCCCAATCCACACGGCATGGAGATATGCTAGGTATAACGAGGAAAGATCGAGTTAGGAATGATGTTATCAGGAGGAGAGTCGGCACAGAACCAATACAGAACTTTATAGGTACACAACAAATCAAATGGTTTGGCCGTGTAAGAAGATTGGTGTCAACAGAGCACCACAGAGAGTAATGCTATACAGATTCAGCGGTAACAGACCCAGAGGTTGACCACGCAGAATATAGACCACAGAAATTTCAGAGAGACTGAAAAATACTTTATGTCAAGGGAACAGAAAGGCCTGTTTCAGAGATATCTTCTTGCCCTGACGCCGCGAGACATTCCAGAAGTAGAGAAAAGAAGATAGATAAAGGTTTTGGCTGCATTTTTCTGGAATAACCAAATGTTTTCTCTCCCCAGATTGAGGTTGATGACCCAGCAGAACTAACCGAGCAGTTTATCTATGAGGAGGTGCACCCCAAGAAGAACGTGGCTCGCCAAGCATTTGCTAAACCTAAAGGCCCCGCTGGAAGGGGTCCTAAACGAATGACAAAACCCTCAAAATAGCAGCCGTTATTTATTTTTTAAAAGATGTTCACAGCTCAGAATTTTTGGGGGTTTTCAAACACAGCTTACTTATTTAGGAGCTGTTTAATGTCTGGCATGCCTTTTGAAATAGTAAACAGTTGAACTTTGAACTATTACAAAGGTCACCATCATCATTAACAAGTGCCTTGGCAATTATCATGGGTGATCATAGCTACCCATAAATCTCTTTCTCTTTGTTCATCAGTTCATGGGTTGGCATCTTTTTTTACCATGGTGCTAGGCTGCCATGTTAGAACAACTAGGAATAGTCAAAATAGAGCCGGATAACATCACTGTGGAAAAAATAAGAGTTCTATGTCGCTATTGGTACCAGGGCATTCTCGTAGTCGCTATTGGTACCAGGGCATTCTCGTTGTTACCAGGAAATTCTTATTGGTACTAGAGCAGTGGCTCTCAACCTTCCTAATGCTGCGACCCTTTAATACAGTTTCTTATGCTGCGACCTCCAGCCTTACAATTTTTTTTTTTCATTGCTATCTTAAAACTTCAGTGAGTTTGTGTTTTCTGATGGTCTTTGTGAAAGGGTTGTTTAACCAAAAAAGGTTGAGGACCGCTATACACATTTGCACACATAGGGATGAAGTGCTAAGAGTTACACACCCAGGTATGAAGTGCTAAGGGTTTCTTCTGTACGTCACACAAAGGCAACAGACTGTGTGTAATAAAATTGTGAACTGAACACAGACTCCACAGTTGTATGTACAAGAAATTCATGACTAGTGACTCAGAAATTTGTCTATGTGGATAGAAACCTTAGAATAGTTGTGAACATCGGATCACATCATGGCACACTGGTGTAACCCATTAGTGCTCTGTTCTTATTCTAACTCAAGTCTGATTCCAAAGAAAAAGCTCAGCACAGTGCACAGGCTCTGTAGCACTGGCAAGGATTCTGAAATACTTTGGGTAGATTTTTAACTCCAAATTTTGTCCTGGCAGCATTGTTAGGCTACTCTTTTGGATTTCCAACTGCCAAGGAATTTTTTCATGTACCCAGCAATGCACACGGGCATCCGATCTCACTACCCACATGAAAAAATCCCAGCTCTTACCAGGGATTGACCCTGAAACCTCTAGCACTCGAGGTGGACACCATGCCACAAGACCAGGCAGCCCCCTACCTCAGAATACTGAACATGTACTGTAGACGTCTCTCTGTATACAGTGGGGAGATCCCAGGTTTGGTCAGCTGGCATTCTGCAGGAAACCAAGCTGGAAAGATCAGTAGAGGACAAACATCACATCACAGCCTTTGTTGAAGCATGTGGCCTTCTCGTCTGAAAGTCACTTGCATGGAGAACGAGGAGAAGAAGAATCAACAGTTCCAGCTTCACAGCAAAGGGGTCATCTCATAGTTGCTTCATTCCTAAGGAAAACCACACAGAATGTCCATCACTGTCTCTTGTGAGAAATTTAATAGACTGCAGTCTCAGCGAAGCTGCTAGCATACACATTCATTAAATGCATAAAGCAGTTTGAGGAATGCCAGCAGAAACAGTCTGACACTAGAAATGCAGTTCATTGATGGAAGCAGCAGTTACAACAGATCAGTAGTTGCATATGCAGTTAACTGTATAAGGCACCACCAGTTATCTGGCAAGAAGAAGATTATCTATATTTAAGTCATAATTATAATGTCAAATCAGTACTGTTGTAGGGAGCAGAAACATGGATGGAGAACAACTAAGGCAATTCATAATAAATGACAAATATTCATTAACTGGTGCCTGCACAGAATTAGGGAAATTAAATTGTATGATAGAATCACTAATGTAGAGCGTTGGGAGAGAGAACGAAACAAATTTCAGTGGACTAAGAGGTAAAGAAAAGATGCTGGCGTTGGATAGGACACATGTTGAGAAAACCTGAGAACAGTATAACTAGAATGCACCCCACAGAGGCATAGAAATAAAGGAAGACCAAAAAACACCCTGAGAGGGGAACTAGAGAGTGAAGTTAAATAGATGGGGAGGACATGAGGAGAGCTGCCTGCGATGGTGAAGGATGGAATGACTTGGCATGAGTTGGTTGAGGGCCAGTGCTCCACTGGGGGTTAGAAAGGCAGAAGAAGTCAAAGCATGACTTAATCACAAGGTTTCCTATCTTTTTCTCTATTAACAGCAGTCTGGGGTACCCTGTTTGCGTCTGTTCCCACCCTCAAAAGCTGCCCTGAAACATACAGGGATGTCACAATCGAAACCCACAGTTCCTCCGCTCACCACTCCCCACTACCACCACCACCAAACTGCTTAGCCTGTCTTCTAGACTCACAGTCAATTCAATATTTTTTCCTATTTTGCTGTGAAAATTTTTTAAGTGAATAAAGAAATAAATATACATGTGTTTGTGTGTTTAAAAAAAAACGTAAAGGACCCTCTTCAGATTGACAATGGTGCATCTGGCATTTGATGCTAGCCTCATATCTTAGACCAGGGCCATTCAACTAATTTTACTCTGGGGCCAAAAAGATGTAAAATGGAGATCATCGTGGGCCAGAGCCCTGAGCCCTAGCATAGAACGACCATTAATATGGTACATATGGCAGGTGATCTGCGGGCTGCTTGCTAGGTGTCTGTGGGCCAGATTTAGTCTATGGGCTGCCAGTTGAAAAGCCCTGTTTTAGACCAGCTGGCATTCAGTGGTTAGTATGATCAGCATCGTGTGGGCTTCCTTTACTGCCCAGGGTTTTATATGGCACTCATTTTAGGCTGGGTCGAACTGGCAACCAAGGTTATCTCTTTAAAAACAAAAATACAGTACAATATGGATTTGAACCCAAGTTCTTCAGGAATCAGATGAGCATCTATTTAAATGTTTACACTGATCTAATTCAAATCTGTATCATAGCAGATTTCTGTAATTGATTGAAGACTCCCAGGTCAACCAAGCTTCAAAATTGGTACCAGGGGATGTAAAGATAGGCATCGTGATGTTGACGTCGCCCATCATATGCAGATTGACCTACCAAACAAAAAAATGGGTCCAGCTTCATAAGCTGATACGCCTCTGGCAAATGTCCTTTACTGTACAGTTGTATAATGGAGTGTGCACTAATAAAAGTATCATGGGAAATCAGTATGGAGTTTTTGTAAATTTTTTCCATTTTTTAATTTTAAAAATATATTCTTAGGTCTTTCAGTCCCATGGAAAGTCATATATGACAGTTTTTTTTTTCCACATGAATCCCATACATCGCATAGTGTGTTCACCCTCCATTTTATTATTAATCAGACCAGACTAAAGAAATCTGGTGTCCCTATTGGTTGCTTTTGCTGTGTAATTTGCCTGTTTGAAAGTTATGCATTTGTGACTTTTCATAGTGGTTAGTGATTCTCCTAGGCATTTGCTGCAAGAACCTCCAGAGATTGAAAGAGTTCATAACTTTTCATGTTTCTTTGTAAGAATTACAGGCTGAGGTTGTAGATTCTTACAACAGCAATGGTTGGAGCTGAAAATAAGTGTATCAGTTTAGAATATCCAAGGACAGTCACATTGTGTTGTTCTTTCTTTCTCATGGTAGCAGTGTTTGTACTGCATTTATTTGGTAGCAGCAAATTTGCAGAATGCCTCCCTTCTCACAGTCCACCAAACTTAATCTCAGTCATTCTACTCGCTGCCCACTGAAAATGCTCTCAGTCCTCAAGCACACAGCCCACTGAATACACTCTCAATTCATTAGCATACACCCCATTTAATACACTCTCAATTCTTTAGCAACCAGCCCACTAAAGACACTAAATTCATTAGCAACCAGCCCACTAAATGCACTCTCAATTCTTTAGCAACCAGCTAACAGAATACAATCTCAGTTCTTTAGCAACCAGCCCACTGAATACACTCAATTATTTAGCAATCAGCTCACTCAATACACACTCAATTCTTTAGCACACAGCCCATTGAATACACTCTCAATTCTTTAGCAACCAGCCCACAGAATACACTCTCAATTCTTTAGCACACAGCCCATTGAAAAACACTCTCAATATTTAGCAACCAGCCCACTAAATATACTTTTAATTCTTTAGCAACCAGCCCACTGAATACACTCTCAATTCTTTGGCAACCAGCCCAATAAATACACTCTCAATTCTTTAGCAACCAGCCCACAGAATACAATCTCAATTTTTTAGCAACCAGCCCCCTGAATACCCTCTCAACCCCTCAACACACAGCAAAATAATAATACTCTCAATCCTTCAACTCACAGATACATTATAAACTCATCGATTCTTCAAGTTTCTTATTTGTCGAGCATTCACTTCTCCATTTCATTTCTTGCCTCAGCTTTACTGTGAGGAATAGTTTTCCACAAGGAATCATAAGTCTGCCAGAAAGCTTTGTTATAAAAAATCTAATTATATGTCTTAGGGGTTATAAACGCTGTTTATAATTCCAAAATACCAGGTTCGATTAAGCTGCAGGTGGTTTGGCAGCAGATCTCTTCGCACTGATTTCAACAATGGTATGGAAAGCTGACTGTTCAGTAAGCAATGGCAAAATACTGAATGTAATGTAATATTGCCTAGTAAAGCAACAAAAAAAGATAACAAGTTCTTGACTTGGATTGCAACATCCTGTTAAGGATATGCAACTATCTTCACTAATATGTTTCTTCCTTGACAAGGGCATTTTTAAAATCTTTTATCGAGCATGAAATAATGGTAACACCCCCATTTGGGTTCCCTATCCCTCTATGGTGAGAAATAGAATAGATCAACTGCTCCAAAAAAAGCAGGTCAAAAATGTCGCCTGTTTGTGGGTATTTCCTTCAAAGTTAGAGTGCATCTGCCTGAGGTGAGGAACCAACAGTCTGCGTACAAATAAGCCAGATCTGTAAAATGGATGTGCATGCATAACTGAAGTTTTGGAACAAGGCCTAAGTCCAGAAGTGGATGAACAACCACTCTTAATCCATATAGCACTTATGTCCTTTAAAGTTGGAGTGCATCTGCCTAAGG